ATTCTAAATACATTTTTTTATTTCACAATTTGTATCTCCAAATGGAATATTCGTATCTAGAAACATTCTTCAAGATTTTGGAAGTTAGGGTTTTGGAGATCTAGCAATTTTTGCGATCTAGGGATTTTCGGACCTAGTGATTTTTAGATCTAGGGAGTTTTGGATCCAGTGATTTTGAGATCTTTTGATTTGGGGATCTGATGATTTTTTGATCCAGTGATTTTGAGATCTAGAGATTTGGGGATTAAGGGATTTTTTGATCTAGCGATTGTGGGATCTAGTGATTTTGAGATCTAGAAATTTTGGGATCTAGGGATTTTTGGATCTAGGGAGTTTTGGATCCAGTGATTTTGAGATCTTTTGATTTGGGGATCTGATGATTTTTTGATCCAGTGATTTTGAGATCTAGAGATTTGGGGATTAAGGGATTTTTTGATCTAGCGATTGTGGGATCTAGTGATTTTGAGATCTAGAAATTTTAGGATCTAGGGATTTTTGGATCTAGTAATTTTGAGAGCTAGATATTTGGGGATCTAGGGATTTTCTGATCTAGTGATTCAATCATTTAGTCATACAGGGATTTTAGGATCTAGTGATTTAAGGAATTAATGCTTTAGTCATCTAGGGATTTAGACACTTAGAGATATAATCATTTAAACATTTGGGAATCTAGGAATATAGGAATATAAGAGTGTAGGTATATGTTTATACAGATATTTGGAACTAGAAATATTTGAAATTTCAATATTCAAAAATCTCAGAGTTCACCCATCCCAATATTCCTACAAAACATTCTTCGATACTTGTACTTCTGTTTTCTTCTCCCATTCATCATTAATAAATTGAAATATTTTTTGATCCACTATATTTTTAAGCCGTCTCCTAAGAAGTTGTTATGAAACGTTTCAAAGGAAGTTTGATGGAAATGTTTATGGACTTTCATTCGTAATTTTCATCTTCGTACTTCATCTTCTTGAAACACATTTAATGGTTTTTCCTTTGAAACGAATGAAGGTGGAAAAACGGTGTGCTGGTTTGTAGCAACATGTCATCTTTTTTCGGACGCGTTTTAGAAATACCCACTAAGTACAGATTAAAGAATTTTCAACAACGTCAGTCAGAATTATTCCAAAGAACCTTGTTACTCTGTTATCGTGGCAGGACTGACGGAGCAAGCATATCAGATAGGATCAGGAATTGACACGATTATAGAAAGGTATTAAATTTGCAATTTTATCGAATAAGTTTCAAGGGTGCACTTCTGTTGACAGAGATATATTTGCTGTGTTGTATGAGCTGTGCAAAACATGAACTGGCAAAACCAGTACCGAATAATGGAGCGTTAATGAAATACACATACATATTGATTAATGTCAATAATATGTTAATATTGTGTACTAATATTGATTTATTTTATTATTAATACGGATGAATAATGTGTGAATATACCTGAATTAGATCAAGTAAATATTTTATATTATACTAGAACTGTCTAATTTCACAATTTAGTATGAAATATTATTTAAAACTGAAAATTAATTTTTTCAAGCTTCTTAAATCTTCCATATGATTGATTGTGTTACATATGATGTGACATATTCACCAATATGTAACAATAGACATGTGAATGTGAATGACCAAAACATGTGCACCCATGTGATGGTACCAAAACATGTGCACATAATTGCATCAACACATATTCATCAGCCAATGCACCAATATGATCACACGAATCCCCCAAGTGGATGCATGAATGCACCTCGAGATTTTGCCATTAATATTCGACCTGCATTGACGCATACACACGTCGTTCTCAGACAAAAGGAGTAAAAAGGCGACTGCAAGTGGTGGCGTCTAAACAAATCGATCGATCAAACGGCGGTCCGATTAACGCTGGCGAATACGCCAGCATCCCAGCCGGATAGAATCATTTCCAAGTAGGCAATAATTAATTTATGGAACGGAGCCAGGGGTTTCATAATTCACCGGTGACACCGGCAAGTTTACGTGTTCAGGCACGTGTCTATCTGTCACCGAAGTGTCACGCGGCAAGGATAAAGGACACGAGGGTAGCAAGGGGCGGAACATAGAGACACGTTCGCAGCGACGTACATATTCGTCGGGACTGTTTTAAGCAGTTCGGTGACTTGCGAGACAACTCGGTTATAACGATTGAAGTTTCGTCGTAGCGTAGATTACATCCTCGTAATTACGGGCGCAAGCTTCCGAGCAGGTGGCTGCCTGTACACCTTCTGCCGACTGTTAAAGCTGACTCCCTTAAACCCGTAAGTGGAGTGGAAAGATATTAAGGTTTGGGCCAAGTCCTTCTGACGTTACGTGGTTTGACGTATGACCGCCTGGAAAAGTCCTGACGCAGACTCAACTCCGAATCCCTATCCGCGGGGAATTATGACGCTACGCTAAATAATGGCAGCTTGTTTGCTGATAAGCGCTGCTTGCACCGCTTGTCTTGGAACATCTCGAGCCATACAACGCGACTCGTGCGCGGATTCTTGAATGCGTTGTTTAGAACTTCGCGATCGTTACCAGACTCCTCGTTGCGGAGTTGCGCCAATTTCTTTCGGGGTTGTTGCCAATGCTTCGCTGTTTGATAATGCACCACTATCGTTAATGGAGGAACGATCCGATCACTTCTGTATTGCTTCATGCTAGGTTGGCTTTTTATTGAAATGTGGAGTCTTTTCATACTTGTGGAAATTAGTTGGACTTTTGAGAATATAGGGATTTTAGGGTGGGGGAGGGTTAGAGTGGAGGGTTGTTGGAATTTTGGGATTTGAGAGTTTGGGGATTTGGATTTTTTGGTATTTGAAAATTATGAGATTTGGAGATGTGATGATTTAGGGATTAGGAGAGTTTGGTACCTGGAGATTTGGAGGTTTGGTGGTTTGGAGATTTTGGGATTTGAGAATTTGGAGGTTTGAAGATTTCAGGATTTGAGATTTTGGAGATTTGGAAATTTTGGTATTTGAGAATTTGGGGATTTGGAAGTTTTGGTATTTGAGAATTATGAGATTTAGAGATGTGACGATTTGGGGATTAGGAGAGTTTGATACCTGGAGATTTGGAGGTTTGGTGGTTTGGAGATTTTGGGATTTGAGAATTTGGAGGTTTGAAGATTTCAGGATTTGAGATTTTGGAGATTTGGAAATTTTCGCATTTGAGAATTTAGGGATTTAGAAATGTTCGTATTTGAGAATTATAAGATTTGGAGATATAACGATTTAGGAATTAGGAGAGCTTGGTACATGGGGGTTTGCTAATTTCAGGGTTTTAAGAATTGGACGCTTTAGGGTTTGAAAATGACAACACTTGAGATGTTTGAGAAAACTCGTAATGTTTGCAAAATTTATGAATTTGAAATTGAAGAAATTTCTCTTATAATCTCCCCATCGAATCATGTATATTTTCCTTTATTCCAACGAATGAAGTTCGAGGAACCTGATCAAACTTTTTCAAAATCAATCAATGTACCTCAAGTATACGAAGTTTTGTAACGTAAGAAAGAACAAAACGTGTCCAAGAAAAGTGTGCTTTCGCGTCAAAACGAGATTATCCCTCATTGAAAGTCTGCTGCTCGAATCTCGTATCTGAATACGAAATCGTGCGAAAAATGCCTAATGAACGAGCAGTTCCACGGTGATTTAACCCATCCTGGAGGAAAAAGAGGAAGCTTGGAGAAAACGTATTAAGCGAGAACATAGGGAGACTTCTGTAGGAAAAATTACATGGGGCTAAAGACAATATTACATTAGCAATTTTTTCATTTCTTGGTTTACACAGTTATAGAATATTGAATTCTTAAATTCGGGGTTTAAATTTGGGAATTTGGGGATTTGGAAAATTTGGGAAATTTGAGTTCAGGAAACTGCTATGATCACATGTGACTTGTGTTGCAGGTTTCATTAAATTAATTTTTTATAGGAAATGCAATCGGAAGTAAATTTTGAGGACTTCAAATATTGAGAAAATTGTATTCATGAATATATTAAATGGAAGGTTAAATTGATTAAGTAGTTTTGTCCTTAACTCCTTAATGGTCCTGGTGATCATATGTGGTGATACATATATTGCTGCAGCATATGTGACGTATACTGCAAATTCAACGAAATAAATTATTTAGAAGAAAAATGAAATAGAAAGCTTTTGGAGGCTCTAGAAGTTCTAACAGAGATATAATAGTAGTTTAAAAAATGAAATTGAGAGAAAAATAATCTTATACTTAACACGTTAATAAACATACTGATCACGTGTAACCTATACTGCAAATGTAGTTAAACGAACTACCTGTAGAAAAAAAATGAAAATATTTTCAGGGTTCTAAACATTCAGATTAAGAGACGAAACGAAAAGATGAAGTATCTTAGCCATAACACAGCCATAAAAGTGTAGGTTAGTCAAGTTTCATTTCTTGACAAACCACTCTCTCAAAGATCCACCATTAAGAAACTTAACGTTTGATGTTTGTTCAGGCGTTACTAATTATTATCGTCTGGTGGTTTGTCGTTAATTAATGAAAATCCACGGCAGCTCATCGCCACCCTTTATAACCCCGTGATATGTTGTTGCTGCCCTGCAGAGAGGTTAAAGGGAACGAAATACAGCCAGGATTTAGGGGCTCTTACGTTATTCAGTCCTGCTCGCGAATAGAGTAATGTGTACGGACATAATTTAGAGATTCGGTAAGAAAGGAAATTTACTTGATGCATTGTGCAGCCGTTAAGCGTATCATTAACATTAAATTCTGGCTGGTTCCGGTGCGTACCGGAAAATATATCTCGTGTGGGACGAGTTTTGGCACGCCTGTTGAAATATTGTTCTGCAGGGTGTAAGGTGCAACCCAATCCTCCCCTCTGCTGTAATTCTACTGTGGCTTTTTAGTTGGAAAAGTGATACTTTTGTGATCCCGGTTATTTTTCACGATTTTCTTAATACTTGGAAGTAAATTAGTGAGAAGTAATGTATTGTTTTTCTGCTTTCAGACAGGCATGTTGTCGATCGTTGTACCGCCAGATTTTATTCCTGAAGAGACTTCGAGTGATGTCATGGTACGCGAAGGAGGACAGGTAATAATTCATTCTTAATTAATTGCTAATTGTACTGCTAATTGTGTAAATTGCACTAGTCATATTAAGGGTAACGTGAAATTGTCTATTAGTTATAGAATGTATTCTGTGTCAGTTATTTATGTCTTGTAAGATTTTATTACTGAACAATTACTATGTGATTACTGAATTGAATTGGGGGGATTGGGAAATCTAGAAAATGGGAAATTTGAGAAATGGCAAATTTGGGAAATGGGAAATTTGGGAAATGGGAAATTTGGGAAATGGGAAATTGGGGAAATGGAAATTTTGGGAAATGGGAACTTTGGGAAATGGGAAACTTGGGAAATGGGAAATCTAAAAAGTGGGAAATTTGAGAAATGGGAAATTTAGGAAATGGGAAACTTGGGGAGTGGGAAACTTGGGAAATGGGAAATTTAGAAAATGGGAAACTTGGGAAATGGGAAACGGGAAATTTGTGAAGTGGGAAATTTGGAAAATGGGAAATTTGTGAAGTGCAAAATTTTGAAAATGGAAATATTAGCCAATAGGATATTTTTGGTATTCGAAATTTAAAAACTAAACATTGTCATACTAAGTAATTACTACCTTTAACTATAACTACCAATTTCAACAATATCTAAAATACCATTAAACATTCATGTTATATCACAACTTTCAAATTATATCTCCCATGTAAAATACACAAAAGGATTTCTATTCATAAAATATTCCTGCAATTTAAATAACTGTCCCATAACATTCCAAAAATGTAAAAGAAGAAACAGAGGTTTAACTATTTCACGATTTACGTCCGTATAGATTTGAGCCACAGCGTTATGAAAGAGAAAATCCTCCGAATATTGCTAAAACGTCTCAATAACCTGTTGCACGTGTACGTATCACGGTGCCGTCGTTTTCGAGACATACGTCTTACATAATGTGTAAATATTTCCCTTTTCCTGGTTTTCTTATCAGGGCTGAAATGCAACGAATATTACCTTTGCGAATCGTCGGCGAAATTCCTCGAAAAACCCTTTTCACCGAATTTCCTTCAATCACGACGCTGCACTTTCTAGTCGAAATATTTATCGAATCATTTTTACTCGTTACCGCGGCAACATTTTACGAACAAAATTCGAACCACAGAATTCGGAGTGATGTATGCGCGTTGCAAGAAAGTTCATGTAACAAGCTTGTAAGGGAACTTGGCAAAACTTTAAAATTAGTTACGGAAGAATGAATCGTCTGAAATTTGCGGAGTTGCCATAAATTTCTGAATAAAATATTGGAAATGTACATTTATGAAAAATTTTCAATTCGTTCGCCAAAACTTTTTTATCTTAAATTTGTACCAATGTTAGCTCGCGAATTGGCGCGTGAGGAGATTTTACAATATTACTAACTCAAAAATCTCAATATCCCTACATTACAATATCCCTAGGTCCAAAATTATCGCTAGATCCCAATATCCCTAGATTCCAATCTCGCTAGATCCCAATCTCCCTAGATCCTAATCTCCCTATATACCAATCTCCCTAGATATCAATCTCCCTAGAACCAATCTCCCTAGATTCCAATCTCCCTAGATCCCAATCTCCCTAGATACCGATCTCACTAGATCCCAATCTCCTTAGATACCGATCTCACTAGATCCCAATCTGCCAAGCTCTCCATCTTCCTAGATTCCAATCTTCCTAGATCCCAATCTCCCTAGATCCCGATATCCCTAGATTCCAATCTCTCTAGATACCAATCTCTCCAGATACCAATCTCTCCAAATACCAATCTCCCTAGATACCAATCTCCCTAGATTCCAATCTCCCTAGATCCCAATCTCCCTAGATACCGATCTCACTAGATCCCAATCTGCCAAGCTCTCCATCTTCCTAGATCCCAATCTCCCTAGATCCCAATCTCCCTAGATCCCAATCGCCCAAGATCCCAATCTTCCTAGATTCCAATCTTCCTAAATCCCAATCTCCCTAGATCCCAATCTCTCTAGATACCAATCTCTCCAGATACCAATCTCTCCAAATACCAATCTCCCTAGATACCAATCTCCCTAGATTCCAATCTCCCAAGATCCCAATCTCCCAAGATCCCAATCTCCCAATCTCCCAAGATCCCAATCGCCCAAGATCCCAATCTTCCTAGATTCCAATCAAGATCCCAATCTCCCAAGATCCCAATCTCCCAAGATCCCAATCTCCCAAGATCCCAATCTCCCAAGATCCCAATCTCCCAAGATCCCAATCTCCCAAGATCCCAATCTCCCAAGATCCCAATCTCCCAAGATCCCAATCTCCCAAGATCCCAATCTCCCAAGATCCCAATCTCCCAAGATCCCAATCTCCCAAGATCCCAATCTCCCAAGATCCCAATCTCCCAAGATCCCAATCTCCCAAGATCCCAATCTCCCAAGATCCCAATCTCCCAAGATCCCAATCTTCCTAGATTCCAATCTCCCTAGATCCCGAAATACCTCTAGATCCCAAGATAGCCCTAGATCCAAAATATCCCTAAATCTTTAGTTGGCCCATAAAGAGGTTGACCCAGGCATTTGTTTTCACTCACCAATTCATGGTTTTGATAAAATTTTTCTGAAACAGGGATGAGATGTATTTTTCGATTATTGAAAAGTTTCGGAATTACAAAAATTTTTATGTAATTTTAGCATAATTGCTTCATTAAACTTCGCGACGACCTTTTTTCATTACTTTTTCCATGTAACTTTTAATGAACCACGCTTTATGAGATGGTTATTTGAATTTCGAGAAAAATGGTTTTCGCACGGACTAATATTGATTTCCCCTTTGAATTTCTCGCCAATTTCATTAAATACAGTTTTACACTCGCCGTATCTCCTTTGGGGATATAATTAAAAGAAAATACAATTTCAATTTAATGTTTCAATCAAAATGTACTGCTGATTAAAGAACCGGAATAATGCTACATTAGGGAACTCGCGAAATCAAACCGGTTAATTTCGCAAGAACAAAAAGTGTCCTATACATCAACGGCAACGATGTTAGCCGAATATTTCGTCACTGTGACGTTCACGACTCGTTCCGAGTTAGTGTTATTAAAAATGGAAGTTTCAATTTCAATCCTCGACGATCCAATGTTCGATTGACTGAACATATAAAACGTATCGAACGATATGTTTTCATTTGAGCCATAGTGCGTGTGTCATATATCGAACTGGATGTGGACCCAACTTCTGTATTACATTCCCGGACTACTTATCTGATCACTAGATTTCTAGGTTCCTATATTTTTAAATCACTATGTTGGTTTTTAGATAACTCAGAAGATACTTATGGATCTAATGAATAAATTGTACATAGTTCAAAACAAAAAATTTTGTAAATAACTGAGAAGTTAAATTGACTATTAAGAATGTTACACTAAAAGTTAGCCTTTCACTAAAAGTATTTGAACAAATTAAAAAAATTGAAAGCGATAGTCTTGGGTGCGATTTAATCTTGGAAACGGTGGTTAATGTTCTTTGCATTATTATTTCAATAGTATTCCACGTTGGGACGTGCCCATTATCTATTTGGCAAATGGAAAACGCAGGAACGGAAGGAAGTTTCTTGGGTACCTAATATTAATGGCACGTAGCCCGCACGATTTCCGCGTGTTTATAAAAATCTCGTTGCCCGTTTAGATTCTCCTTTTCCACCCCGGCCACGATACGTTCTCTACTTTATCTGAATTTCAATGCGACCAGGACTAAAACTTTGAAACTCGTTTCCCGTGTCATCTCGCATTTAGGATATCCAGTCCCGCGGAGCCTATCTGTGTCCTTAATTTAAAATTGATAAGCTCGTTCGGCGAGATCCCGCGAAACGACGAGATCGAGAAAACGAGCCTTTCGCGTCGCTTGCTAGGAAAATCTGTTCGTTCAATGTTACCTTTTTTGTCCTTTGCCTCCCCGATAAAAATAACGATAAAATCCTGTGGCCAACTATCGACGTAAAATGTCGAACGTTTTGTTCTCCTTTTTTAATATGGCCGGAGAGCTCATCGGCGGAAACGAACGAAATCCTTGCTCGATTATATTCCGGATTAGCAACGTTGTTCACGTTGATCGAACTCTACGATTTTTGTTTTTGTTGTCCCGTGACACCGGTAGATCGACCGTCTACGGTTGTTCAATGGTAAATTGATTACGATTTGATCAACCGTACCCTCGATATTCTTTAAGCCAATAGAGGGAACTTTATCTTGTTCGGTCGATCGACAGAATTAAATTACGGGGGTACCTCAATTATTCGAACCTTCAACTCTTTTGTTCTCCTATAACCACTGTCGTTCTTGAACGTTTGTTTTGCGTTTGCGTTTTTATGCTACGGTTTAATTATTCCGATCGTTTGTTGCTCTATTCCCTCACTTTATTACTCGTCGAAAAATTTCGTTACGCGGGAAATAAATAAAATGTTTGATAACCGCTACGCAACTTTCGATATGTTTCCACAATTTTATATATTATTTAAATTTGAACGATTTTTATTTGAACCGTTTTAGAATTGCAAAAGTTCGTAAAACAGTGTCATATTTATTTTAGTGAACTTTTATAAATGATGTAGTTTATATTATATTTATCTTGTTAATACTTGAATAAATTATAATAAGAGATAATATTACAAGATATTTGCTTTTGTTTATTTTTAATTGGTTGTTGAACTTATCAGCAGTAATGAAAAATAAATATTTTCTAAATAATTTCAAAGTAATGTCTGGCTTTAACACTAATGTCAGATTTCCTAAATGCTGTTCATGTGAATCTCATGTAAGAACTGAACTTTTTAATTATCATCGCAACCCATTCTCTTTATTTTAATGTATGACTATAATTTCGTATTTTATAGATTCGTTGATTTAAATAAATAGATACTACGTATTTTAACCAACATATTAAAAGAAAAATAATGTACAAAGAGTACATAACAAATTAAAAAGATGGTGAGTCCACATCTGAGAACGCAAGCAGAAACAATATGGCGTCGATCGCGATGCGCAGGAGATTTAAACCGTGTTATTTGTTCACGTACCTTTTACATTATTATTTAAATATTCCAATACTGTTTTTATATTATCATTAATTTCTACCTTTTATTTATAAGCTATAATTAAGTGCTATAATATTGTTTTTAAGTTATCACTACATACTATTTTTAAATTATCATTACTTACAGTATTTAACCAAAATTTGTTACCAATACCCATAACTTTTAGTCCTCGTTTTTAACTCATAATTACCACAACTCTCTAAATTACAAGAATACAAAGACTTAACATTTTCTTCGAGAGTATAAGTTTGTATTTTCAAGTACGAAGAGCGAACTCGCATGCAGGACAAACATATTCATAGGTATAAAACAGTACATTTGTCACTTACGTGCGCTGGAGAATTGTCGAAGCACTCTGATGGCAACTTCTCGGGTCTCTAGAGTCCTTCTTTCCGTTGCTACGTTTTCTCTCAGCACACACTTCAACACTCGAATATCTTTTACGCGGAAAACCGAGCGGTACGAGGTTCATTCGTTCAAGCAGCGAATGCGATTGTTCCCGAGTTACTGGCTTGCTTCGTTTAATTCACTGTCGGTGAATTGAGAACGACCATTCGCGTTGTTATTACTTACGATACAAAAGGTGGTGTCGATAAACATAGAAAAATTGTTTACCGATTTCTATTGGTTCTTGAATTCTTGAATTTTAGATAAAATATATTGACTCTAAACGAACTTCTGCTGCAAAATTTTGCAATCTACTTACTGTGATTAATTTTACATTAAAATTTTTTTATTTATTTTTTTCTTTATCCGGTATTCGTACAATATATTTTTATTTAATATTCAGACAGTTCATTCTTTTTATTTCTTATTTTTCCTATCTGGTATTCGTGCAATTTATTTTTATTTAATATTCGTGCAGACAATAAATTTCTTTTATTTTTTATTTTCTCTATCTAGTATTCGTACAATTTATTTTTATTTAATATTCGTACAGTCAATTAATTTTTTTTAATTATTATTTTTTCTATTTACTATTCATACAATTTATTTTAATTTTGTATTCCAACAGTTGTGTATAACCTTCGGAACTGATTGCGATCTTTTATCACAGTTCTGCTAGTTTATAATTGAAGTAGAACGTGTCACTCACCATCGACATGCTTCAGCAATAATATGAGTATCGCAAATTCACCGTGTACGCGTGTAATCATTGAATAACTCGTGATTCATGAGAGTCAGTTCGTGAAATGCTGAACCTTCTGGTCAGCATTTTGAGATTGCATGACGTAGCTGCTGTTGCAAGATTTCGAGTTATCACGTTAATTCCGCGTATTGCATAATATTCTTCATATTTTTAAAAATACTTCACACCGACACTATTATTCAATTTTTTTATACAAAATTTGGACAGACATGTCTCCGAACATTGTTGATATATAAATATCTACTTGTTTCACTTTTTCAATTTAAGAGTCTGTACAAAATTTGGACAGACATGTCTCCGAACATTGTTCATGCTTAAATATCTACTTGTTTCACTTTTTTAATTTAAGAGTCTGTACAAAATTTGGACAGGCATGTCTCTGAACATTGTTGATGTTTAAATATCTACTTGTTTCACTTTTTCAATTTAAGAGCGTTAAGAGTCTCAATTGGACCATTACATCCACGTATCATTCAACTCTCACGTAGCCATCGGTTTCAGGCATGTTCGTTCTCACAGGCTCTAATTTTTCCAAACATATTTATACGTGACCCGATAAATAACGAACTTTCGATTCTATGTATAATTCTGGTTTCATAACACGTACAGGTGAAGTTAACGTGCCGTGCAAGAGGCGTACCGCCGCCCCGCGTGTTGTGGCGCAGAGAAGACGGGAAGCCCATTATAATTCGGAAGCCATTTGCACCAAACACCTTGAACCAAAAGTCTCACGGTAAGATTTAATATAGATACACCTAACTTGTGTCGATGTAATGTGGAATATACAATTATGCTCGATACGCGGTCTCCGATTCGTTGGCTATTTTCATTTCCTTATTTCACCCTCGGCAAATCGTAACTTTCCGATTGTTAAGCAACACTTTTGTGCAACCTCTCGGCAATCGATATGGCTCCTGTTTTTTACGGGTCACGTTCGCACCCGTCTCTCAGAATATTGCTGCTGTTTACGAACGTGCGCACTGTAAGATCTGCAATGTTTGTCATATTCATTAAATTCGAGCGGAGATAATTGTATACTCTAATTTAGGGTTTCGCTGCTTTTCTTTTAGAAGTTCCCTAATTTTCTCTAAAAATTTTTTACTTTAATTATTTTTATCTTTGATAAAATTTTTAATTAGATAAGTTTTAATTAGTAAGTTTTTTTAAGGAGAGAATTTCTATCGGTAAGATTGCTTTTTTTTACTTTTTGCACTGGTTATTTTTTTAACACCAGAACTCCAGTTAACTGGTTTCATATTTTATATCTCAAAATTTTGTAGCTTTTTTGTTGAAATCTCTGTCATGTTTTTTTGAGATAAAAAATTGTTACTTCATGCTTCAGTATTTACTTATTTCTTTTCAATTTAAAAGTGTGTATCTACTGGGGGTAGTTCTGGTGTTTTTGGTGTATGAATAAATGTTTTATAATTAAGAAATTGCGTCTCTGATTTTTGCATTATCTTCTTGCATTAATATTTGTTTACTTATGCTGTGTTTTAGTGACAATGGTAATTGTTATTAATATATTATATACGTGGTAATTATTTATATGATTGCTGTCTTTTGTCAGTTTTTATGTTGATATTAACGCAATGTTTTATAGACATAATATTAATATATTAGTGTATAATAATGTACATTAATGTACATTGCAATTATTGTTCAAATGATTGTCTTTTATCAGTTTTCATATTGATATTAATATAATATTTTATGAAGAAGTAGTTGTTGTTGTTATTATTGTTGTTATATACATTGCAATTATTTGATTTGAATGATCTTTTATCACTGTTCATACTGCCACACAGTGTTTAATTAAGACCACAAAAGAACCCGTGCAGTTATTTTTGCTAAAACATAAAAACTAGACTTGCAGAAAAATCGATAAAAACTGAATAATAAAAATGATGGACTTGGTTAGTTCGGTTGTGAGATACGGAAATATTGAAACCGTGAAATATTGATATAATATATTGATCGTTCGACACAAGCATATTTTGATATGTCTGTTAAATCTCAGCACGTGTTTGTGCCCAAATGAAAAATGAATTCGCTCTGTGACTCCTAAAAGAACGGTGATGTACAGCTTTTGCGATGTTTATTAAATTCTTTAAAAAAAAAAGTCCGAAAATGGAGGACTGTGAAAAAACCAAGTGTTAAAATCGCGAAGCAAGGCAAAGTAAATTAAAACGAAAGGCAAACAAGCCGTTCGAGGAAGCGTCACGAAATCAAACATCGGGCATTCATTGGGCGAAAATAAAAAGGGAAGGATGATTCCCTGGACGCGGACCGTTCTTTAACAATATCACCGGCCATTCATGCAACTCCATTACGCTCTTCAAATGTCGCTTAACTACCGACGCTTTCCGTCGCGACGTCCATGCACACACGTGTAAAACGAAATCGTCGGACGTAGCGTCCCGTCGCTGCGTTGAAAACGATCGGTGGATAGCGTTCGTGAAATTGTGGAATACCTGATGGACAGAAACGTAGCATGCCGGAGTTACCCTCGCACGTCGGTGTTTCAGACTAAACGACGTATTTAGTATTCGCTTCAGCATGGTGTTACTAATAGCGGGTAAATTTCGGTGCGACGTCTCTCTCTCTCTGGCTTTGTGTGTATACGTGTGTATGTATACGAGTGCAACCCTTGCAACACGTGCTAAGTGCAGCGACCGTAGCTGCGCGCCAAGGGGATAGCTTATTGTTGGCCTACAATGGCGATAATTATTGGATATCGCGAAGGGGGAAAAGTTGCGACACCCGACTACGAGAGCTGCAGTTTAATTGCCGTAAGATTTCGATTTAATGTGCTGCGCGGTTGCTTCGAGAAATTGTAACAATAAAAATGAGTGTCAGTGGTACTTTCAAAAGTTACTGGTATTAGGTCTTGAGTGGACTTTGTAGCAAGTTTAATTTCATGTAAACGGGTAGCAAAGTATGTAAACTTTTGAGGAGAGGATTTTTAACGTTTTCATGTTTTTTAAGTGTAGGATTTATTATACAGGGTGTCTCGTAATTAGAGTTACTCCCTGAAAGGTAGGGGATGTGATTCTGTATAAGATTTCCCTTTGCAGAAATGGGGTTTGAAGCTTCGTTTCTGAATTATTAAGGGAAACACGGATTACAAGGATTTGCGCATGCGCAGATTTTGTCGCTCTCGCACCTGCGCACTCAGTCAGCGCTAAACTCGAAGCCATTGCTCTCGCGTCTGCGCACGCGTAAACCTCGCGCTCTGATTGCTCCGTGTTTTTCCTTAATAATTCAAAAACGAAGCTTCAAATCCCATTTTCGCAAAGGGAAATCTTATTCAGAATCACGTCAGCTACATCTCAGGGACCTGTAGTTGTGAGACACCCTGTAGTTTTTGCAATGTGGAAAAGAAATTGTATGGATTTATGAATTGAAAAAATAAAAATATGTCAAAGTTGCTCTCAATTACCAGAGAACCATGAAGTACAAAAATATTCAAAGAACGGAATTTAGTAAAATAAATGTGTTTTAATAAAATTTCTCCGTTCTCCGGAATATTGCCAAGCATAGGATATTCTTAGAGTATCTCGCGAACGTATCGATTTTCCGAAAATTTCGGAATACGAGCGTCGCCCATAGAACTCATAATTTCTTATTCAATTACATTAGAGCAGAGAGTAATACGATCTTTCAACCAAAGTAAACTGTGCTTTCGCAGTTTCATTAACAACGAGAGTAGAAAGTTTTGTTAACATTGCTGGTAAAGTTTCTCGTTGTTTCGCGGAAATTTTCATTATTAAAATACGCGAAGGTACATGACTCTTTCGATCTAATTTGTCGTTCTCCAGAAGAATTAATTACGGAAACAATGTTATGTGCGCTTTATTGTTCAAACAAGCGTCGTCGTTTCGCTACGGTAATTAATTTATTTGCCGACGTAAAACCTGACTTACAAAAGCAAATTTAATTTTTAATCTTTATAGCAGTAACATTCCTTGTTATATGAATTACATCTTATTTGACGTTGCATCGAATTTTTCGATTTCTTTGAGGAAAAATTCCTTTAAAAGGAGTAAAATATGACATTAACTCGACATCGTATGAAAATCTGCGTTTTGAAAGGTATTGTCATAGTCAACCGGTACACCTGGTACGTTTTCCTCTTACTATTAAATATATAAAATTAAAATAATTCATAATTTGTTACGTCAATAACTTACCATAGTAAATAATTTATTTTGTAGAAGTTTCAAAAAATTGTCAAATGTTCATCCTTTAGTTAACGTAATTAAAACGTTATGCAATTATTTTCGAACATGTACCTCGTTAGATGTTATACAAAATTGTTCCTAATTGTTTATTTCATCTCGTTAAAGTGCAAAAAAGGAAAAGAGAGTTTAATTTATACAAATTGAAAGATATTATGTGTGAATGTAATTTTTTCATTTAAGGGTTGCTTGTGAATTTGCTAGAAAACTATTGCCTTAAAAACAAAGTTCCGTAAATTCGTCGAACTGCCTTCTACCCCGTTCCAACAGAGAAATCGCTAATTAATGAGTTTGTAAATCATAAATCATCGGGTTTCGCTTAACTTCCCAGCGAAGCCGTGTTACGCTACAGATTCGAAAAGCAACACTGGTAATTACAAAAGTGCAGCAACACCGATTTCTCGCGAAACAGACGTTTTCCGCTTAAACCGTAAACAACGTCATTCCGAAACAAACAATTACTTTTAATGCTGTCACTGGAAACCAAACAACTTACGAGTATTTCTGTAATATTGTGCAAGCATAAAATTTAACGATTCCAGTGATTATTTACAATAGTTGCTGATTTATACAATGTAGTAGTTTTAATTAACGTTTTATTTCATAGGGAACTGCAAAGTGAATTGTACAATCTGAAATGAGAAAATTTGATATTTTTGTATTTCTAAATTTTTTAGTTTTTATATTTAAAGATTTTCAAGTTTCTGAATTCTTAGAGTTTCATATATTCAATTCTTAGATTTTCAAAGATTTCATCTTTCGAAACTTCTAAATTAAAAAAATTCCAAACTCTCAAATTTAAAAATTTCTACTTCCTGAATTCCAAAATTTTTAACTTTGCAAAATTTCCAAAAAGTTTAATTGTTTATAATTATATATCTCCAAATTCTAAATCCCCAAATTCTCAAATTTCTTATTCCCAACTTTCCAATTTTCCAATTTCATATCTCCCAATATTTTTTCCTGATACGTTTGAAATTAGAATGCAGTATTTATTATTAAAATAATTAAACACTAATTAAGTTTGACGATTCCTAAAATTTCTCATAGTTTTACGATCGGTCATAAAAATTTCTTCATCTGCCAAATGGCTCACATTAAACGAAGAAATAATTGATTTTATTGGTGGCAATAAATTTCATCTCATTTTAGTCGATTTAAACTCTTTAGGAGTATAATTTCCTTTGCATAATAAATCAATAATTCCATAAGCAACGAGGATAGCGTTTCTTATCCTTTATTTAGAATACAAGTTTTGTTATTTTTTAATTCAATTTAAAGAAGTCCAAAAAGTACTATAAACATTTTTAAATGTAATTATTTTATTTACATATATAAATTTCTAAATAAATTTCAAACTTGTTAACAAAACAAAATTAATTGAGAAGTGAATTAATTCTTTTATACTTCATAAAAATAAAAGTAATATTTTTTTATTTAAAATTAAAACGTACGCGCACGAAAGCTTGTTTAAATCTACAACATTTTATCAGGAACAAAGAACTTTATTTAAAAGCTTCACTTCGCGTCGACTCTGTTACAAGGACCGTAAAATTCAAAGTTAAAGCTTACCTGGTTCGCGACAGCTCGAATGTTTTGTGCTAAAAAACTTAAAATATTATTAAACCGCACTACGCGGTTCATTACGTTAACTTATTTTACGTTTTTGCTGAATTTGAAGGAAAAGTTCGAAAATTTGTGCAAAAACTAAATTGACATACAATTTGTAGAAAAATTAAGTTGACATATTCACTCATTAAATTGAGTGAATTTAACAAATTATGTTGAAGAAATTGAAGAAGTTGGAAAAATAGAAAAAATTTAGTAACTACAACAAAATGAGATAATCAAGTTAAAAAAATTAAGAAAATTGAGCAAATTGAATGAACTGATTAAACTGAGAAAATCGAGTAATTTGAATAATTTGCGAAAATTTAGTAAATTGAGTACATCCAGTAAATTATAAGAATTGATCTTCGATACGTCCCTTCAACAATATTCTACGCTCTAATATACAGGGTGTATCAAAATTAGTGTAGGTCCCTGAAATGTAGCTGACGTGATTCTGAATAAGATTTCCCTTTGCAAAAATGGGATTTGAAGCTTCGTTTTTGAATTATTAAGGAAAAACACGGACCAATCAGAGCGCGGGGATTATTACGTGTTAGATTTCTATGCTTAGAATTACTACGCGCTGGACTACTGCGCGTTGAATATCCACGCGCTGGATTACTACGCGTTAGATATCCACACGCTGGATTACTACGCGTTAGATTACCACGCATTAGATTCCTACGCTTAGAATTACCACGCGCTGCAGAATTACCACGCGTTGCATTATTACGCGTTGAATTACTACGCGTTGAATATGCACGCGCTAGATTATTACGAGTTGGATATCTACACGCTGTATTACTACGCGTTGTATTACTACGCGTTGGATTACCACGCGTTGCATTACCACGCGTTGCATTACTACGCATTGGATTACCAAGCGTTGGATAACTACGCGTTATCCGAAGCCGCCGCTCTCGCATCTGCGCATGCGTAATCCTCGCGCTCTGATTGGTCCGTGTTTTTCCTTAATAATTCAAAAACGAAACTTCAAACCCCATTTTTGCAAAGGGAAATCTTATTCAGAATCACGTCAGCTACATTGCAGGGACCTACACTAATTGTGATACACTCTGTATTTACTATATATGCATCCTGCACATCATAGTTATTATACTATAGTAGCTATATCATAGCTATATCATAACAAGTATATAAAATATATGAAATATATAAATTATATGAAATATGTAAAAGGAGATATCTTGAAGGATATTTTCCTTGTTTCAGTGACTCACGTAGCAGAGTTCCAAGGCGAAGAATTGAACATGACGAAGATCTCAAGGAACGAGATGGGAGTATATCTTTGTATCGCCAGCAACGGTGTACCACCGGCGGTCAGCAAACGTATTTTTATCAACGTTCATTGTGAGTAATAGTGATTGCTATCGGCAATAATCTATCGATTTCCCTTTGCTCGAACGAGAGGAAACACTCGACTGTTGTTCGACTGCAAACCCCTATCTGGAATTCTGTTTCACAGTCTCGCCGGTAATTCATGTACCTAATCAACTGGTAGGAGCTCCTCTGGGTACAGACGTGGTCCTGGAATGTTTTGTCGAGGCTTCGCCGAAGTCGATTAATTATTGGGTCAAGGATAACGGTAAGGATCTTCCTCTCGTCCACTTGCCCTACAGTTTCATGCGAATCCTCCACAATCCTGGCACGTACGCTTTTACTCCGATCGTACATCTTCCCCTTTTTTTCCCTTACGTGTCACTTCTGGACGACACAATCTGTTTAAGGATCGTTTCATTTTCCTTCGAAGGTTACCTGACAATTTTCTACGAGATTTCTTACGAAATTCTTAAATACGTTTACTTTCGAAAATCAATATTACCACTATCAGTTATGTATTCAGGTTTTTTATTCAAATTTCAAGATAGCAAACTTAGAAATGTACAATTTTCTTTTTTTTTACAATTTATGTTGGTTTTATGTATATCTCATATTTTATATTGTTTATACATATTTTTTGTATATTTCTTTTATCATTTCTGTGAGTAACGTGAAGGTTCCTTGCTGTTAAATAACTTTCCTTTGAAATTCTTAAATAACCTTGTTATATTCAAGTGTTTTTTTTTTTATTTAATTTTCAAGGTTGAAATTCAGTACTTTTCATACAGAAATTTAAAACTATAAATTCAGAAATTTATAGCTTTAATTTTTGTAACAATTTATATTGATTTCATGTATATGTTACGTTAAATTCTTCATACTTATATTTAATTCCAATAACCATTAACTATACCCTATATTTTGTAAAACCCACACGTATATCCATTTTTATATTTCGAAAGAAATGATGTTTTTGCTGCCAAAATTGGATTATGATTACTCAGTTCTCTACATTCGTACATGGTTTCAATAAATTATTCACGTTACGTATCATTGGGCCAATAAAATATAATTGTGCCGCAGAAATAAATGTTGCTTTTATGTGAACGAATGTGTGAGCAACGGTACATACAAATTTGTTTTCTGGTTTAATATAATGAGGAAATACGAATATTTTCGAAATGTTTGCTCCTGCGATTTACTGCGATTTAACACGGACCGTGTTTTTATCCGATCATTATGAAAGAAGCGAAAAATGTTTGCTCTTATAAATTTGAATTTATGATCAATAATCGAGATTTAGTCGCAGAGATAAATTAATCTTTTTTGTATTAAGAAATATTTTTTTATTTTTGACTTTGACAAGTCAGTTAATATTTTTAATGGAAACTTTAGCATTTGTAATTGATTTAGGCTACTAATTAAATATATAAACGTGTATAAATGTATAAAGTTATTCATATTTTATAATTATACTGATTCCAGTTACATTGATTTGTATTGATTGTGATCACACTGATTTCAATTATATCGATTTAAGTTGATGATCACATTGATTTTAGTTATGTTTATTATAAAAATTTCTAACTGCGTCAATTTACCTTGATTAAAGTAATACTGATTTCAATTACATTGATTTGTATTAATTATGATCACCTTGACTTCGATTAAATTGATTTCTATTAATTGTAATCACATTGATTTCGATTGAATTGACTAAAAAAATTTATAACACCGACTAAAATTATATACAATTAATTTGCAAATATAGTTAACCGACGAAGGAAAATTTTCTAAGCAAAAATTCGGCAAAATAATCTATTTACCTATTTTACCGCTCGCGCCTACATTTATTAAAATGATAGACGGATCGTTGTAAGGTAATTATTACGAAACCGTCGGTGTAATACATCAAAATACGATTAATGCTCAATGTAATCTGGTAATGTGCGGTTGTATTGATCACTCGCTGTTAAATGCAAACAAGAATAATTACATTGTGCAGTGTTCCCGTACTAATTCATTTAAAAATTACGCTCGAGTTGCGTTCGAAACTACACCACTCAGATTAATGTAATTTCGAATCGTTTATCCCTCGAGAAAATCGATACCATACAACGATCGATGCCACGTAAAAGACGAACAGTTAATGTTTGTCAACGATGTTCAACCTCTTGACATGATTTTACTTAAACAAATCTAGTTAATTAAAAATTATTCGTGTCAGACATTTTTGACCCAACTTATTTATGTTAATACGTCAATTTTTTTTATTCTTAACACGATACGAAAAAGTATTTAGGGAATACTGATCATAATTTCCTATCTGAGGTTATCGAAAATTTAGATTATTGAAAATGTGAAGGGTTGATGCATTTATGAGACGTTCAGATATCAAGTGTTATGAAACCAAGTTTAATATTTCTGTACATTCTTTTACACAATTTACTGTTTACAGATTACAGATTAATATTTAAGGAATATTGACGTCAATTTTCTACTGAAAATTCAAATCAAAAACATGAAGGGTTGGTACATTTATGAGACGTCCAGATATCAAGCGTTATGAAACCAAGTTTAATATCTCTGTACATTCTTTTACATAATTTACCATTTACAACTTACAAATTAATATTTAAGGAATATTGACGTCAATTTCCTACCGAAAATTCAAATAATCAAAAACATGAAGGGTCGGTACATTTATGAGACGTCCAGACATCAGGTGTTATATAACACAGCTTAATATTTCCTCAAATTCCTTTACAAAATTTATCATTTATTTCTTAAATTAGTGTTTAAGAAATACCGACGCTATTATCCTGCTAAAATCTCACATCGTCAAAAATATAAGGGTTCGATCATTTATGAAACGTCCAGATATCAAGTCTGCCGTAACCCAGTCCATTTTCGAAAATTTTCATTCACACAATTTACAGTTTACATACTACAAATTAGTATTTAAAGAACACCAACGATAATTTCCTGCCAGAATCACACATCATCGCAAATATCAGGGTTCGTACATTTATGAAATATCCACATATCAGGTCTTGCGTAACCCAGCTTAATATCTCCGTAAATTTTCTTCCACAATTTACCTCTTACAGTCTACGAATCGACTCAAAGAACATTGACTGTAATTTTCTCAAAAAATCTCATATTATTGAAAGCATAAGTATATTTACGAAAGCGAGCGCACGAACGTTTAGCTAAATCGTATCGGTCGTATTTCACGGTGTTCGGAAGAAACACAACTGTTCCTCTCTTCTTAACAGGTTTAATATTTCCGCGCTGAAGTTGGCTGCAAAAAAGTTGCAGACAAATGCGAGAGTGAATTACTCTCGGCCGTTCGCGAATATATTCTCCTAGCAGTTTGTAGCCTGCACGAGTAGACATGCCTTCGCTTCAGCGCAACTTCTGCGAAGCACTTCGTCCCAATGCATTCGTATGTAATTTTCACCTCGCACAGGAAAATCCTGTGCCCCCTTTTTCTCTGTGCCGCGTGTACATATATGTCGCATGTAGGTATGTAAGTATGTACGTATACGAGAACGTTTCAGACTGTAATAAGGAGACTCGGCGCGCGTTTAAGAAGTGAATTTTCGCATACTTTTATACGTCGTTCCGTATGCCTCGGCTCGTTTGCAATATTCAACGGCGTCGTGTATACGCTTGTATTTTATATTTATTCCCGCGCATCGGAAACGGTGTGCCAGCGTCGATTTTTCTTTCGCTGAAAATTGCACGTTTGTTAAATCGAAGCCCGGACATAACGAGCACCAGAAAGAAATATCTTGTCGGAACAAATTCGTATGGTGCCATCCTTCAATTTGCAATTTCAGTATGCTCTCGCGGTTTATTGCGCGGCAGTTTGCGAATTTAAGGAAATAGAAATTTACCGATTGGAAGATTTGGTAATGGATAGGGACATTTAGGAGATTGCATGTATAAGAATTTAGGAGTTTGGAATGTTGGCAGTTTGGGGAATTTGCCATTTGAGCGTTTGGGGGATCGGAAGTATCAGAATTTTGGAATTTGTGGTTTGAGAATTTCGGGATTTAGGGATTTAGAAATCTAGGGATTTTGGGATCTAGGGATTTTGCGGTGTTGGGAGTTTAGGATCTAGGGATTTTAGGGTCTAAGGATTTTGCGGTGTTGGGATTTTAGGATCTGGGGATTTTGGGATCTATGGATTTTGGAATGTAGAGATTTTGGTATCTAAAGATTTTGGGATCTAGGGATTTTGGGACCTAGGGGTTTTGGGACTTAGGGATTTTGCAATTTTGCAATTTTGCAATCTAGGGACTTTGGAATCTAGAGATTTTTGAATCTAGGGACTTTGGGATCTACAGATTTTGAGATCTAGGGACTTTGGGATCTACAGATTTTGAGATCTAGGGATTTTGAGATCTAGAGATTTTGGGATCTAGGGATTTTGGGATCTGGGGATTTAGGGATCTACAGATTTTGAGATCTAGGGATTTTGGGATCTAGAGATTTTGGGATCTAGGGACTTTGGGATCTGGGGATTTAGGGATCGAGGGATCTAGGAATCCAGAAATCTAGGAATCTACAGATCTAGTGACCTAGAGATTTATTAATTGAGGAATTTAGGAATTTGTAGAAACTTGTGAATTTTAGAATTTAATAAAATTAATAATCATTATCAAATTATTAATTAAAATTTATTTATATGAACTTTACAACACCTTAACAATGACAAACATTTCAAAAATATATCTTCTAATCCAAAATCAACCTAACACTTAAAATACTTACAAAATTGACAGTAGATTAAGAAATATACTAAAGTATAATTATACTTGTAGAACTATTCTATATTTTGTTTGCCTATATCCGAAGTTTTCCTATTCTCCCAGTTAATTGAGATATTCAATTCAAGTGAAGATACTTTGTTAAAAATAGAATTTAATTTTCTGTTCGTACAGCAATGATAATCTCGAGCCAGCAACACGACGTGCAAGCACTCGTGAAATCACAGTTCGAGGTGCGAATGATATTAACTATTCGCTATTTGCAAAAACAAGACGTGGGTACTTACAAATGCGTGGCGAAAAATTCTCTCGGAGATGTGGAGAGCAGCATACGATTATACGGTGAGTGTTCATCGTTTGTTTAATTGCTTTGCGAAACATTTTGTGGCCGGACTAAGAATGCGGTTTTTAAATTACATGGAGCTCTGGTTTTGCACTCATTTGGAAATACTGTATGTTAGGTCGAATTTTTAAATGATTTGTAGGTTTGTAAGTTAACAAATTTTTATGTTTATAGATTCCTAAATTTTCAAATTCATATGTTCTCAAATTTCTACGTTTCGAAATCCTTATGTTCTCAAATTCTAAAATTCCCGAATTCCTACATTCCCAAATTCCAAAATATCAAAATCCCTAAATTCCCAAATTTCTACGATTTCAAATTCCAAAATAATCAAATCCCTAAATTCCTTTTCTACGTTTTCAAATTCGTAAATTCCCAAATCTCTACGTTCCCAAATCCCTAAATTCCCAAATCTCTACGTCCCCAAATTCCTAAATTTCCAAATCTCTAAACTTCCAAATCCCCAAATTCCCAAATCCCTAAATTCCCAAATTTCTAAACTCCCAAAACCCTAAGTCCTCAAACTCTCAAATTTCCACATGGCCATAATCGTCCTACATCCATAACCTCCCTAATCTCTCCATTTTACTTTTGATCTATTGCATAATTGAAAAACGTTCCACATGTTACGATTATTGTGATCAGATCGCCGAGTGAAAATGGAGAAGTTTCTCAGGACGGATCAAGGTTGGAAAGTCAATCTCTTACGAAACGCGTCGGTGAATCATCGCGAAAGCTTTCACGATAAACGAAAATATACGTACAAGGTGTACAGGAAATAAGTAAATCCCGGTGTCACCGAACAACATTGATTCCCAAGACGTGAGAGAGGCTGTAGCAACGATTTACGAAGCGGACACGAGCTTGCGAGACCCTTCAGCCAAAGTGCATCTCGAGTCTATGTTTCCTCCCGAGTGCTTTGATCCGATCGAAGGATTCCCAGGATCGTATGCAGGAAAAAATGAGGATTGACCGAAAGAAAGCAGACTCTCTGATGTCGGGGAAAATCCTTGGAGGTTTCCGTGGCAAAGTGAGGATGCTTGTAAACAGGAACGTGTTTGCAGCGAGGCTTCTTATTTCTATCAGAAAGCGATCAGTTTCTCGACGAGCAACAATCTCCGAGAGCTCTCGCAAAGACTCGTTCATCCGCTACGATCGATGGCAAAATAATATCGAATTTAGATAAATATTCTGCTACAAGCTAACCGATTAGTTTGTTGGCTATATTCTTTATTCTGATACAGTAATTTAGATAAGGTCTGAGAAGATGGATAAGTTTACATGAAAGAATTAGTCTGAATAGTTTGTAAGTTCAATAGTTACTTTGTTGTGGTAATATTGTGTAAGGGTAATCAGGAATGTTATTGGTGAGGTATACCAAATAACTTGTGGGCGATTTTTAAAAGTAGACTGCAATACTTTACTAATGATGTTTCGCAGCAAAAGCCAATACAAGAATGTCTTTCTAGACACGATCCCGTCTTGAGGACACCCGCGTCAGGATGGCTGTTTATGGCACTTAGGCCCAGCAAAGTTTCCCTGAGCAAGGGGAATGCACTGACAAAAAGCGCGTGGTCCGTGCCGACCGTTCGTCGATTTTCTATTTCCTTACAATTGTGACAATGTTTAGAAGATGTTATACAATTTTTTATACTATTAGGTACTTTTGATATTTGGTACAGACTCAGGTACATGTGATTATACTTATATTATCTAAAAACTAGAACAACCATATGCAAGGCTTCATAGAGGTGTCATAATGTTGATACAACAATTGTCATACATAAATCATTGCAAAGTATATTTGGAACAGAAATCAAACTCTGAGAATTATTATAACCAAATGTACCTTCTTTATGACTATAATCAGAATCACATATTATTGCTAGAATCAAGAATTATTAGAATCATATATTGGTATTAGGATCACATGTTGGGCATTAAACTCACATGTTGGGTTTTGCTATCAGATCAAGACACACATATGCAAGAATTTTTTAATTTGTAACAAGTCTGACAGATTTTACTATTTGGTACAATTTGGCAAAAGTATCAGTATGAACATGAAATTAACATAAATATTAATATACCTATTTATACAAATTTATACTAATTATCTACCTTTCTGTTCAGAGATTTCGGGACCCACAAAGACGCAAACAGCAGCCCGGCCATCTTTCTACGACGAGGAAGATGAAATCGTGTACGGATCGGCAGAAATGGAGAAAATGGAGAACAAGCCATTGTCCGTGGACAACGCTATCAATGGACACATGGGTTATCCATCAGTCGCCACACCGGTGCCAACCATGAGAGTCGGCAAGAAAAGACCAGCGATCAGTGCTAGTTCTAGATCCAGTGATCGTCATTCTGCTTCCAGTCTCTTTGTCATCGTTTTGTTGCTGATCATAGCTCGTCTGAGATGCCAATGAACGAATGGACCGAGAAAGGTTTGGAAAATTTGTTATTTCGTGAACGATGTAAGAAAGAATCGATACGTGCGCGCTTTGTTTCTCGGAGTATCGTCTTCCCTGAGTGGCTTATTCTTACAATGATGTAGTTTAATAATGAGAGAAACGTGTTGGAAAATTTCGAGCAAGTTATAATCATGTGATTAATTGAGTGGTAGTCGGGTACGTATGCTAGGGTATTTTTTTATATAAATAATTAGATGAATTATACAGATATGTAGGTAGTTTAATTCCTCGAAATTTTATTTGATGCGTTTGGGAATTAGGTTTCGATTGAGAACTAGTATATTCAAAAATGTTGAACGTCTTTCTTTCTTTCTGAATTCGCGGCAACATATTGAAATATCCCTCTACGTGGCAGATGTACATATACACATTTCCTTAGCCTCGTCCCTGAAATTCTCTCACTTTGAAACACGCATCTGGTGAAAAAAAGGTTTTCAAAATGGACTGATATTTCTTATTACGGGGTGATGTATCGGTTTGTTTTTACGTGACTGTCGTTTGACGAGCAATCCACGAAACTTCTATTTCTACGTGACCTGAATAATAATTTATAATAAATATGAATCGATCCTTTACTTTTTTAAATTTGTGTCAGACATGTACAAGATGATTCACTTGATGTGTAATTTACATCGCTTGCAAACTCTTATACGAACAAATGTTTTAAAGGAAATTTCTATATTAACGTTTATTAATTTTTGTTATATTTTTTTAATCAAAATATCACCTCAAAATTTCTGGTAGTTAGACTTGATTTTGTAATTGGAAAATTTGTTAAAGACTGAGTAGACTATTAGTGTATACTGTATATTTATTTATATTAGTTCAAAAATTAATATGTAATTGTTAAAATATCTTTTAGTGAATTACTGTATATTCTTGTTAATATAAAATCAGTACCACTCATTGTATACTATATTGTTCAATTACATCTTGTTCAACTGCTATAATTTCAAAAGATTTGTGAGTGACCTTGACAGTGGCCTTGAACACTAAACATATGCGCAGTCGACAACGAAAGGTAATATACCTGCGCAGTAAAGTTTACAAAATAAATGCACTAAAATAAAGTGTAGTAACTTTACTGCGCATAATTATTATATACAGTTAACAATTGCGCATATATTTTATTCAAACTTGCCAGCGTAACGCTTTACACCGCCATATTGCAACAAATCTCACTTTCACTTTACGATATTTACTTATTACCGTTCTGAAAGTAGATTAAATTAAAATATTAGACTTCCACAGTAAAGTGAATCATCCTGTATTTATCTGACAAATTACATACAAAAATTTATTATTCCAGTAATCCAACTGTTTACCATCGACGTTTTTGCACGAAACAACGTGATTTTGATGCTCGATTTAAAATTCTTTCGCCTCGCTAGAATACAATTGTTTCAGTCCGAATTGTTCAAAATGTAAAACAAACACGGACACGGGCAATGTTTATTTATTATGAGTAGTAGTAGTCATAAATCACGCAGTCGTGATTCGCAGCAAAATGAAAAACACGACCCAACAGACGTCGAAACTTTGTTTCGCTCTGGCGGGAAAGAGATCGATGAAATATTAACAGCTGCATTCTCGACATGTGCAAACATTCTGTTTGTATCGATGTAGCATTACCGATCGACGATATTCCGTTTCGTACGTTTGCTAATAAAAAAAAATTCTTTTTAAGCTTTGCAATGCTGGACGTGATGCGATTATGTCGTGATAGCTCCGATGAAACTTTTGGGGACGTTTGCTATACTTCATTTCGTGAATCATGCGAAGGATTAACAGTACTTACCTTGATTTATGAAAATTAGTGACAGATACGATTATTTATTTCTGGATGAAGCAGGAGCGAGATAATTTACTTGCAGTTTCTTTCAAGTTTGATTTGGCGTTTGAGGTTAGTTTTTGTTACTGTATTTGTGGTATTATGTCTGTTGGTCATTATTAGAGATCATTAATGAGGAACAGGCAAATTGTGAATTATTTTTAAATCATTCTAATAGTGAAAGGTATTAAACTGTAATCTGAAATCTGTGCAAATCATTTATAAAGTTTCAGTATGTCTGACTATGCATATCCATTACTACTGTAACAATCAAGTTATTTTATTGTAGCTATCAAGCAGTACAAAATTAACAAAATGTCAATCTACGTCTTAGTACACTTATTTGAAAGTGACCAAATTTAGCAAGTAACTCCCAACTTTTGTTTATAAATAATTTCAAAGTACCTTGCATACGTGCCCAAAACTACCACCCACACCGAACAAAATGGTGTGAAAAACTACAACGTTTGATTTCGGAAGGCATAGGTTCCTCAGAAAGCGATTAGAATTCAAAACTATCGAACGAGAAATATCTATGAGAAAGGGCATGAAAGCAAGAAATACGGCCCTGGCGATCAAAAATTAGCTAAACGAGAACCTATACATATTCGCAAGCCAGGTACGTAGTTCTTCTCAGTTTCAGCGGCAATAAATTCACGTGATGTACATGTACATATGCTTGTACACGTATCAATGTATCATACACACGCAAGGCTTGCACGTGTACATGTGTGTGCATACTGACACGTCAGGGTAACTAAGATATCTGTATAAGTAGACCTCGTAAAGGTGTATCGCGTTTTTAAATGACTGTCGGCAGCTTTTTTATGTGTCGAGCAAAGGACACCATGGCGAAGCTATGGTTGTTTTAGCGGATTCCTTCGATCGGACCAAGCGATTTTAACGTGTACTACCACACGCACACGATTCATCTTTCATCCTCATCTAGACGATACCGGGTCTTTTTGGACCCATTTACTATTATAGTTAACTTGTTATTTTCATTTTTATTTGATGTTATTTGATGGTGTTAGACAATGTGATGGTTCACGTAATGTTCCGGGTTAATATGACCCGGTATCGGACACGCGGTTCTCAGTCGGTTTTGAGGGCTAGTTCGAGGACGTGCGATCTGGGCTTATTTTGTCTTTTGGTTTATTTTGAAATTAAATTATAATTAGCAGAGATTTATAAGTTGAAGTGTAAGAACATATGGAAGTAGATGAATGTTAAGTATTTATGATATGAAAAATAAAAACGTAACCTGTTGAGTTATCTTCGAGTAACATATGTGATCACTCATTAGTTATAACACTTATGATATAATTTACATATTTAGCTACCTATGATATTGTTTGTATATTTACTTATTAATTGTTACATGTGATGTACCATTTATTGACACTTACTACTCATGCCTGCTTATAGATTCAACTCCTTTTATTACTTCTTAATTTTTCAAATATAGAAAATTAATATACTAAATTTATGTATTTCCTAAAATTTAGTAATTGATCTGAGGTTTCTCTAAACCTAAAACTGACCGCCCTGTAATATTCTTGAAAACATTTCAAGGTCATCAAGGTCAATACGTTTTCCAAAACATACCACATGAACTACCAATCTCTTCAAGACCAGTTGATTAAATTTACAAAAAAAATATCAGAACCATATTCTTGACGGAATATGTCGATGCGAGCATAATCTCAGCAATATTTACCAGAATCTTGAAATCCCAAAGCAAATTTAATCGCTATCGCACCTCAAAACGAAATTTGTCCCGCAATCGCACGTCGAACGAGGAACACGTTATTCCGATTTCAAATTTATCGAGAACAATCGAACCAGCCTGGATCGCACGATCAATCGTCGAGGTAAACGAGCGTAGGGTTCGTTTCCCAGACGAAAAAGGGACATCGTGAGCGTGTCCGGTAGACGAGAGTCCTGTTTTTTCTAGGCGATTTTAGTTGAATAGAAAAACGAACGGTACGGAGAATGAGCGTGAAAGAGAGATGTACCGACGATATTTTTGTATTTCCGACTGTTGATAGCGTACTTGTGTTCCCTCTCGTTGATCGTTTATTTATCGACGCGGAAAGTTTCGGTTTAATCCGTTCGTGTCAACAAGGAAAGGAGGGATTCGACGAAAGAGGAGGAGAGGAAAGGTAGCAGAACTTGTATAGAGTTAGTCGAGAATCGTGGCGATTGGAGGATTAAACCGCGACAAGTTTAACGTTCGATTACGACATCGACAGACGCTTTACGCCGACGTCCAGACGGTGTGTATTTAACGCTAAATAAATGAATGCTCTTCAGCTTGCTCGGCTTCTTCGAGACGATGAAGACGTAACGCGACTGGTGCTATCAATGGATCCTTTCTTCTTCAAGAGCTCGCGACCTACGCGTTCTCTGACTTTCTTGTATCGGCTGAACGATTTACTTTTTCCGACTGGTTCCTTCGCTTTCAGTTGTTAACGGGATTCGAGTGGATTCTGGCAGTTATTCGAATCGTTCGTGACTGACGGCCAAGTGGGATTACAAAGAGACACTGTTGTTACATTGTTACTTCATGAACAACACCGGTTGAGTGATCTCTTCAAGGTGCTTAACCTTTTGCTTCTCGAGTAATTAAATTAATTCGTTTAATTACTGAAGTTTGGTGACGTTGCAGGTGTTCTGTTACTGCAGCAACTTAAGACGATTGAAGTTTCTGACAATAGAGTTAACTTTATACCCCATGGTTACACAATGTTACATTTATCTTGTTACATGTGTGTAGGTTACAGACTTTTCGATGAACAAATACTTGATCGACGCGTGTGATCTTTTCCAAATCCTCAATCAAACAAATTCCATAAATTCTCCACAAATTCTCAAGTTTTCTGAGTACCTAATTTTCAACTCTTAAAGTCCTAACTTTCAAATTCCATAAATCGAAAACCTCTCCAAGCACAAATTCACGTTTTCGCCGCCATTTTCACCACAAAAAAAGAGCAAACGATTTCCAAATATTTGATCAAGGTACCCTCTGTGTACACAGACCTCTGTCAGTATTATTAATCGAATTGTCAAAATGGCGAGGTATCTAAACAGCGTCCCGAGATAAATCGATCATCGGTACGCTGTTCGAATGCCGCTTTTA